AGACTATTCCATAACTTAGGTAGTCTATGAAAATATGCATTGGATGTTTGAGAGGTGTGAGAGAGATGGTGAGTGAGTTTCACATGGTCTCCTGATCTAGAGTTGGTGGATGTAAATGAAATATAGGAAAGAATATCAAATGACCCAGTGTAACTGCTATTGTGCTTTAAATCGCTAAATTAAATAGACGCCAAAATAATTATTATTCATTATAATGGTTATTATTTATAGTTAATTTGGTTAAAAATGCTAAAATTAGTAACGCTAAACATGACTTTTGCTGATTTCGCTAAAATTAGTAGACACAAATAATAGTAGGCTTAAGGTAGTCTCTTTATTACATGTACATGTGTAACTTAATTATGATTAATGAAGGTTGGTAGTTGCAGCTGTTGTATTGATTCTGTGGTTAGGAGACAACTGTTGTAGAGATGGACCTAATTTCAATCTCCAGGATTGCTCCAACAGTGTTGTAAGACTGTCCTGTGGCTATGGAAGCATGCAGGCTTAAAGGTTTAAGACTGTTGTATAGGGGCTACATGGGAAATTAATTTAAAATGAACATAATGTACATGTACATGTATAGTGTGACGTTAGTTATTAACTAAATGAAATAATTTTGTTTATTTTGTTTTATTAGATCATCAAAATATCTGATTGGACTGTATAGAGAATGGAACGAAGATAATGAGGTAATTAATATTCATTACCGTTAATTATTCATTAATGGATAGGGTGTGGTTTCAGCAGACGATAATGAATTCATTCTCATTCCATCATCAATAGACTCACTAATCATTGAGAGCCCAAACTGATAGTTTAATTATATTTTATATTATTATTGTTGTTGTTGTTGTTGTTGTTGTTGTTGTTTTGTATCTTTGTTAGTTGTTATTTACTGGTTATTCATTTTAACAAGTTCTTTTCCTCCTCTACATTCATGTACATGTACAGCTCCAGTTTCTCTAATCTTACATCTTCCTTCTTTAATCTGTGTGGTCTGTGATTCAGTGCTGCTCTTGAACATATAAATTAAACAGTGAATCATTATAGTGTAGTAGTTGTACATGATCATAAACAGTTTTGATGAATAGTTTACTGAAGAGGAGAGCCTGAGAATGGTATACAGAATATTTAATTAAGGTCTATGACCCCATTACCAGATGAGTAGAGACTGTGAATTGTAACAATGAGACCACACCCACTCTCTCTTCTCTTATCCACTGACTGTCTCTAGTACACACATCAAGAGTAGAACCACCTTACATTATAATACAAGAGAGAAAATAAGAAAAAGGAATTTATTAGAAAAGACACTGAATGATAATCATGATTTGAA